TATCTCTAAGAAGGACCAGCCTGAATCTGTGGCAGATTGGAGGCCTATCTCTTTGTGTAATGTTATTTATAAGGTTTTCTCCAAGATTCTTGCTAATAGGATCAATTATATTTTGAATGGGCTCATTTCTCCCAATCAAAGTGTGTTCATCCCAGAATGATCAATTATTGACAATATAATGATAGCCTTTGAGTTCCATCATTTTTTGAAGTGGAAAAGGCAAGGGTCTTAATGGCTTTGCAGCTCTAAATTGGATATGAGCAAAGCATATGACATAGTAGAATGAGTCTATTTATGGGTTGTAATATTGCGGTTAGGTTTTGATTAAAAGTGGGTGGACATTGTCATTGAACAATCTGTTCGGTTACTTATTCTATTCCATTTGATGATCAAGAGTGGGATATGATCTATCTGTCAAAAGGGAAACGGGAAGGTGAACCCATTTCACCTTACTTGTTTATATTGGTTGCAGAAGGGCTTAGTGCAAGGATGCGGAAAGATTCAAGAAGTGGCTATTGCGAGAAGGGCACAAAGAGCGTCTCACTTATTGTTTATAGACGATAGCTTCTTATTTTTTAAAGCCTCACATCAAGAGAGTTCAGTTATTAAGGAAGTCTTGTACTATTATGAGAAAACATCGAGATAGGTGATAAATTTCAACAAGTTTGTGGTGACTTTCAGCTCAAACGTTAATCATGATGTTAGGGCAGGCTTAATTTAAATGCTTGGTGTGAAAGCGGCATAAGTGGGCGCAAAATACTTAGGCCAGTCTTCTCTTGTTGGAAGGAGTAAAAGGAGGTCCTAGCTTTATCAAGAAAAGGTCATCAAACGCATAAACAAGTGGAATCATACATTTTTGTCCAGGGCTGGTAGAGTGATAGGGTGCTGAAATATAAAAGGCGCAAGAAACGAGGACCAATTGTTGACTGAGCCTTCATTTATTTATTAATTATTGTTTATTTGTTTAAATGAGTCGGTTGGAGAAATAAGTGGGGTTTGGTGTCATGCATCAGTCCACTAGGGTAGATATTAGATCATGGGGTAGTTACTAGATCATGGATGAAGTCAGTTTACATCAGTTGTGTAAGTCAGTTTTAGGCAGTTAGTAGTCAGTTGTATTTCTCTCATTAAATAGCCTAGCCATATTCAAGCTAGGTATGCATGAATCAATATCAGTTTCAGACCTGGAGATTCTCCCTTGGCTTCTACAATCACTCATTTGTGAGATACTCACTGTGAGAAGAGAGTGGGAGAGTTTAAATCATTCCATATCTTTCCTTTTAATTTCTGATCTTATCATAGAGAGACTCTCTTGAAGGCAATAATTCAAGCACTGCCCATTTGTGTGATGCAAGGTGCAAGTGTTCTAGCTACCGAAGGAGCTATGTTCATAATTGGAACGAATAATGAATCATTTATGGTGGTGCGTTAGTATAGGCAAGGGTAATAAATGGAAGGAGTGGTCAGGTATGACTTAATCAAAGGCAAGAGGGGAATGGGATTCAGAAAGCTTCACGAGTTTAACCTTGCCATGCTTGGCAAGCAGATTTGGAACTTTATGCAAACCCCAAATTCTCTGGCAGCTATGATTTTTCAAGCTAAATATTTCCCTCGTAAGTCTCTGTTAGAAGTTCATATTAGCTCTAACCCTTCGCTTATTTGGCGAAATTTGTGGAAGGCTAAAGAGAACATCAAAGTTGATTTTTGGTGGCAGGTAGGGGATGGGAATTCTATTAAACTTAGGAGTTATCCTTGGCTCTCTTCTCTGTTTACCAAACTTGCGGATCACAACCAGTGTTATTACTGGACTGGAAAATATTACACTAAAGACGCTATTTACAGTGAGAGGAAATGGTTGGGAAGCTGGCCTTCTGTCGATTTGTTCAATGAACAGGATCAACATTTGGTGAACAGTATTCTGGTCAGGATCAGAAGAGTTCATGACAAAATCATATGGCCTTGGAGGAAAGAGGAAGTTACATTGTTAAGAGCAGGTAAGGAGGTGCGGATAATCATGAGAACCATGGACCCACATGTGGAGAGTATATATCCCACCCAAAGTGAAGGGGTTTGTCTGGAAACACTCTACTATGATTGTCTTCCGACGATCGATAATCTTTTGGTTAGACAGGTAGCTTGTTCCCCCAGGTGTGCGCGTTGTGTGTGAGGATGGAAACGAAAATGTTGCACATCTTTTTAGGAGTGCACAAGTGTTAAGCAAATCTGTAATTTCATTAATTGGGATTTAAGTAGTGGGGATGGGCTTTCATTCAAAGATTGGGTGGATGAATTTTTCAGTTGTAAGGACAATGAAGCTTGTTGTGAGTTCTTGATGTATCTGTGGAGTATATGGAATGGCCGAAAAGAGAAGATGTGGAATAATAGGCATTTGACAACATCGAGTGTAGCAGCCACCGCCTCAACTTTTTTGGAAGGCTGGTGTAGAGCTCAAAGGCCATCCGATATGAGTGGAACATGAGCTGCCGTTATGAGTTGGGTAGTTTGGAACTATCTAGGATGGATTTTTTTTTTTGACGGGCAGTGTAGTAAGGGGGGCTTCTTCTCGGTGAGGCAGAAGCTTTATCTATGCAAGAAGCATTGAGTTGGCTGAAAGAAATTTGTTGGGATAAAGTTGACATAGGGTCAGATGTTATTTATCTTATCACAAGTATCAAGATAAGTGCAACATAGGGAGTGTTTGCAATTGCTTCAACTTTAAAAAAGTGATTTTTTAAAGTGATTTTGGGAAAAGTGATTAATAGGAAAAGTTGGTAGTGTTTGAGAAAAAAATGATTCTGGAAAAGTAAAAGTTGGTAGTGTTTGGTAAAATAAGTACTTTTTGTGTAATAGAAAAAGTGAGAAGCAGTTTAAAGCACCCTTCTACTTGCTTCCAGCTTTTAGCTTTTAAGTGATTAATTTAAGCAGAAGCTGTCATTTGAAAACACTTTTTTCAACTTTTTTTAAGCCAAAAGCTGAAAAGCGCTTTTTTTAAGCAAACCCAAACACTCCTATATTCATCTTTGTTTCATTGTTGAATACATTAGAGAACTTTCGGCTAGTATTTCTACTATCACGTTTTATTATATTAAGTGATCGGCGAGTCAGGTAGCTCACCCTATCGTAAGGGCAGATATTTTTATGTCTGATTGCTATGCTTGAATGTCTTTTCCTCCGAATTTTAGTCGGTTGTATTTGGACAATCATTTGTTAAGTAATGATAGTTAATCATTTTGCTTAAAAAATGATATTGTTACAAACATGATTTTAAATGATAATGCTTTCTACTTCTAACTTCTTCGATGGAACAATATTTCTTCATAACAGCTTCTAGAGCACTTGAGTCTAAGAGCATCCACAATGCTCTGATGTCTAGTCCATTTTTAAAATGCCAAATGTCAAATAAATAAATGGCTTTCTAATACACATCATATAAAGTGGAGCCATTAGATATCGAACTATGAAATGAGTCTCCAATCCTCAAAGTCCTACTTTTCAACTTCCAAGTCTCGCTGCGTGTTATACGTAACTTAATACGAAGTAATATACATTGCTCCCAAATCATATTCTTCATAGTTCGATCATCTTTTTATGTGGAAAAGAAAATCAAGTCTCAATTTAATCGAAATCCTTATACTCCGTATATTAATATATGGAGTATATTTATCTCTCCGGCGTTACTAAGGAAAACAGTCGCTGCCGCCGGCGTTACTCTGGCGTTACTAGGGAAAATGGTCGATGTCGCCGTTGTGCTAGCAGCATTCCATACGGAGTACGGACGACTCATATATCCCATTCAACTCTCACACTTTTCCTTCAAAGGGATGCCGGCATCTTTTGCCTCCTCAGATGTGAGTTGATACCACGACGGGTTTACGGAGGGGATGTCGGCCAGTTTCTCTGCCTGACTAATACGGTGGATGCTCCAACAGTGGCCGCAACCGGATGAGATCCACCTACCTTTGCGATGATTCTACTAATGGGTGTTTATCTCCCTATTTTCCCGATGGAAAATGACTTGCCGATGCTTAGGTGGGTTACCGGCTTATCGCCGGACAGAAAATAAAATATGTAGTTTTTACTCTCTAAATTTCCGTCGGTCAGGCAACTTTTTTAATTGATTTGTCCAGTCAGCAAGTCTAGGAGGGTTTCTACACTCGGAAAGCTCCCTTCACAGTGTTTATCAGTTTTGTTGCCACGTCAACTAAAGTAGATGCGAGACTACATGCACTGGAGGAGGAAATACATCAAAGATGTCTAATGTGGTGAGCTGGCATACATTTTTAAGACTAAACATCTCTGCGCTGCGGATGCTCTAAACATTCTTCTAGTAATTATTACTATTCAATCGGATCAGAAGCGGGGACAAATTGGTGAAAAAACCCACTTGAGACCGTGTTTAGACTAACAAATTGATCAATTTTTTGTGAGTGATAAACTTTTGATCATCGACTTTAGAATTATCAAAATTTCACATTCTACGTATTGTCAAATTAACATTTGCAATCTTTTTACTTTGATTTTGTCATTAAAAGTTAAGGTCTATAAATATCAAGATTATGTTTGATAATATTAGTTGGTTGCTAACTCATAGCAATTTGAATCAACAAATTGCTATTAGCGAATTCCATTAGTTTTGTTAACTAACCGCTTTCATTAGCGATTTAAAATCAAATGTTAGTCACTTAAATTTGCAATTAACTTTGCAAACTACAATGTTAAAACAATTTCATCAAGCAATTAGTCTAAACAATTTCAGACGTCCGTGTCTTCCCGTTTGACTTTTAAACTAAAATTTGTGACATAAACTAGATTTGATTTTAAAAAAAATGCTCAAACAATTTCATCAAAAAATATCATTGAGAAGGCCCCCAAATGGTCTTAATCGGACAGCAAATCTCATCAGACATTCAGACCAGCTTGTTAGAATCGCTAATCTCTGAATACGCATAATCATACATACAATAATGTGAAACATATTTTGTGAGAAACTAATTCTGCTTCTTTTTTAAAGCAGAAGCAGAATCAAAATAAGTTTTCAGAAGCTGGTCACCCTCAGCTTCTAAAAAAACTGATTCTAGGAGTAAATCAGAACACCAGAACCACTTCTACATTTTCACTCAAACACTCCAACTTCTGCTTCTACTCCTCAAAGGAGCAGAAGCAGTTTTAAGAATCGGATCCAAACACCCCTAAGCCCTTAATCCCCATACCCATCCATGACTAAATTGCCCTGTAATGATCACATAAGCTCCTTGTGTACCACCCTGCCTAACACCTAATATACTTTAGAGCACTCGCAACATGAAAAAACAAAGTTATCTATTGTGAGCATAAATTATAAGATTTATCATTTGTTAATACTCCTGTTATATATATGCATTGAATTTGAACTGTAAGATATAATGCGTGGTAGCACTGTGTACAGTATGGGTGTGTTACCTGAACTCTTGAAAATCTGGTGATTTCTTAGACTGTCATGTTATAATCTCGTTCAAGATTGAACATTATACCAAACCAGCTCTATGTATCGAATAATAGCATATTGTATGCACAATATTGTATATCACTGTACACAATCTCAAACAGAACCCAAAGCTATAAATAATATGTGAGCATAATTAAATATGGAAAAATTATTCAGGAGATAATTCTAAGCCGATTCTTCAAATACGAAAAAAAACACAAATTACACATGCATCCATCCACGTGGATAAAAAACACAGAACCTTCCAACCTGACCATCACAATACTTTCCAAAACAAAGTATCATAAAATTTGCCTTGCAATAAACTATTAACATAAGTCCGCCAGCTGATTAAAGAGCCATATAATAAGAAATTGAAAAGAAAGAGAAAAAACACATCACAATCAAACGCTCACCAACTACAAACACTTGCTAGTAATGACACATCTAAGGCAGAAAAGGCAAACCGTTGTCGCAGTCCCCTGCAATATGAGAGAGACAAAGATGCCGTCATTTTTGATAAAGATACATATGCAACACACAGGGAAGAAGTGTTACAAACCCCAGAAACTCACCCTCTAAGTAGTAGTAATAGTAACAGTAGAAGCATTTTAGAAGCACTTCCTGTGGACAATTGATGGGCCAGACTCCTCATACTCCCCTTTTGAAATCCACATCTGATTAAGCGATCCAAAAAATCAAGGTTAAAGATCTAATGAAGAAAACAGCGACTTTACTGATGCAACAACATGTCAAACAAACCCTCAGTGCTTAAACAATGTCCATTTTGGTCAAGATCAAATAAACTTTGTGAAAAATCATGACATGTTGTATATTTTTTTAAATAATACTTGTTTGAAAAGTGTTTCGAGTCTTTTGACAAATTAAACACTTTTTAGGTCACCTGCTGGAAAGTGCTGAGGGAGGCAAGGATGGATCCACCAATCCAAACACTGTATTTTCTTTCAGGCGGTGCAACCACCTTAATCTTCATACTGCTGGGAGCCAAAGCAGTGATTTCCTTGCTCATACGATCAGCAATGCCAGGGAACATTGTAGACCCACCACTGAGAACAATATTACCATACAGATCCTTCCTGATATCCACATCACACTTCATAATCGAGTTGTATGTGGTCTCATGAATACCAGCAGCTTCCATCCCAATAATAGATGGCTGGAAAAGGACTTCTGGGCAACGGAACCTTTCTCCCCCAATGGTGATGACCTGTCCATCAGGCAACTCATAGTTCTTCTCAACAGAAGAACTGCTCTTTGCAGTTTCAAGCTCCTGCTCGTAATCGAGTGCCACGTAAGCAAGTTTTTCCTTCATGTCACGAACAATTTCTCTCTCGGCAGTTGTAGTGAACATGTAACCTCTCTCAGTGAGGATCTTCATGAGGTGATCGGTGAGGTCACGTCCAGCAAGGTCCAGACGGAGGATGGCATGAGGAAGAGCATAACCTTCATATATTGGTACAGTATGGCTCACACCATCACCAGAATCCAGAACAATACCTGCCACCAAATAATCACATAACATTTTAGAATGCTCAATATTTGATTTTCCATAGGTTCTGTTTGGAACTCTGTAAATGCTAGGTAAAGAAACATGGAGTAACACAGAGAGGACGTTGGGAAGAAAATAAATATTTATTGTTTGGGGGGGAATTGGTTCAACCTCAATACATAAAATATATATATTTTTCCAATCTTGTTCTATTCCAATATAAAGACTGAGAAATCTAAAAATACTCCGTGTGTAAAAGTTTTGAACAAATTATATTTTCCTAGGTAAAACCCAAACATTAAAAAACATTCCTCTTGGTATTTTTTTCTTCCCCTGCTGTTTCCAAATCGCCAAACATTGACAAGCAAAAAAATCATAGGAGCAAAAAGTAGAAAGTAATCATATACAAACCAGTTGTGCGACCGCTGGCATACAAGGAGAGCACAGCCTGAATAGCAACATACATTGCAGGAACATTGAAGGTCTCAAACATTATTTGAGTCATCTTCTCTCTATTTGCTTTTGGGTTGAGGGGTGCTTCGGTGAGAAGGACAGGGTGCTCCTCAGGAGCGACACGTAATTCATTGTAGAAAGTGTGGTGCCAAATTTTTTCCATATCATCCCAGTTACTGACAATGCCATGCTCAATTGGGTATTTCAAGGTCAAGATACCCCTCTTAGACTGAGCTTCATCACCCACATAGGCATCCTTCTGTCCCATCCCAACCATGACACCTGTATGTCGAGGGCGACCAACAATACTGGGAAATACTGCTCTTGGAGCATCATCACCGGCAAATCCAGCCTAATAATTTGAAAGCATAAACCATATGTTCAATAAAAATGCATGGCAGCTCAGAATATATTTTGATTATTAAAAGAGCACACTAACCTTCACCATTCCAGTTCCATTGTCACATACAAGTGGCTGGATATCCTCACCATCAGCCATTTTCTATGAAATGCAAAGAAAGCTCAATGTAATTGCACAACATTTCAGAAAATTGGGGGCACATAGAGAAGCAAAACAAATTTCTCAGACTGCAGTTGAAAGCACATAATAAGGATTTCAAATCAAGAAACCTTGAGATATACTAATGTGCTTTGGATAAGGAAAAGATCATTATAAGGATTTCAAGGTACTCCATACTTAAAAAAGGCCTTATCTACACTATATGAGTATATGACAGCATTCAACTCCTAAGGAAATTATTAAGAGATGAAAAAAACTACACCAAGTATACACATATTACATACAACTAGAGATCTACTATGCAAAACATCACAGATCTATGACACCCTAAAGCAGATCAAGTTAGTGCTACTTAGATTTATATGCCATCAAAACCACAGATCGTAACGTAGGGCATAGATCGTAAACTCAACCATCACTATGCTAAGATTCGACTACATCCGGCAGCTTCACAGTGTAAAGGCGATTTAAAAGTCAGGAAAGAAAAAATATAAGCAATAATATTTAAAGCTCCAGGTTTTTTTGCTCTGGATCTCGAAACATAAATGAAAATAGATTCATGAGTGCAAAACCTGACAGTTTATGTTAGATACAAAAACGAACACTAAAGATCAGTTCAGAGTCAGATCTCGAATTAGCTAGCTGAAGTTACCTGCGCAGGAGTGAACCCGAGATTTGACTATGGAGATTACGGCTGACCGCCTAGCTTTCTCTCCCTAGATTCGGGCTAACGGGTTGCCAAAAGAGTTAGAAAGGAGAATCGGTAGGCGTAAATTGGACAGGGTTATATATGCAGATGAATGTTTAATAGTCACTGATCACAGCGAAGACTCTGACCCAGACACGCGTTAGAATACAAATGTGACGGAGTTTTGTTTTGGGCTTTGTATGTTCTTGACTCGAAGCTTTGAAATCCAATTAAGTTAGGAAACATGTTGAGAATTCTTTTAAGTTATAGACTTATAGTAATCTTTTTATGATTACTTTGTCAAATTATTATAAACATTTGCCTTTACTTTAAATAAAAAGTATAAAACTGAGTCAAAAATTACTTCATTTCTATTGAAATTATGCATTATTATTCATCATGATGATCAAGAATTCTATGTTGTAAAAACCGGACCGGTGGCGACCTGGTCATGTGACTGGGTCACAGGTCAACCCGGTCAAAGCCGGAAAACCGGTCAACGATTATACGTGTATATAATAATAAACAAATAATTATATACACTCTCATTATATATTTTTATTTGTATTGTACATTTATATTATAATTTGGCATGATTTTCATTCTTAAATAAATATATAAATATATTACATAGTTTTTCTTTTAATTAGGGAATTGAAATTGCAATTTTATTGGTTTAAAAAATGCATTAAAATTAAAAAAGAAATTACTTTTTTTAAAAGACCGAAAAACGGGTTTTCCCGGGTTTTTCAGGTTTCTTGGGTCGGGTCCGGATCGGATTTTTTCGGGTCAGCCGGGTTTTTCCGGTTTTTGACCATTTTTGGGTTTTGAAGAAACCGAACCGGATTTTTGTCCGGGTCACCGGGTTCCGGGTCAACCCGGCCGGGTCGGGTCGGTTTTTTAAACATATAGATCAAAATGGCAATCCAATAAAACAAACATAAACATCGTTAAAAGGAAACTTGAAGAAATAGAAAAATCATGTAGCAAAAGATAAGGAAAGCAAAATATCCATATTAATTAGCTTACAATAAAGAATATGAAAACAATTCCATTCAAAATAGAGTTGCTTTTTCGGAAATAACATTCAAAATAGAGTGATTGTCTTGGATCACAAATATTGGACTTAGATGGATCACAAATATTGGACTTAGTTTTGCTTTAAGATTGAGAGCATGTTCTCCCTTTCTTGATTTTTCATAAATGACATTATAAACAAGGTATGATTTAGATTGATGTTCATTGCTTCTAATTGTTTAGGCTTTGAACTTATTAATTGCTTTCCCCTACATTTTGCATTTGCATTATCCTTGACTCACTTTGATTATGCATAATTGTCAAAGGCTTTATCTGAGGAGTCTGAGAGATCCCATCCTAGCGACACAGAAGCCCAACCTGAGGAGACCAATAGGGATGATCATATGAGTGAGTCCGACTGCGAAGGTGGGAATATGATAGATGATACCCTCCAAGATGCTTTTGAAGACCCTGATGAGAACGGTGTTAACGAAAGTTGGGATGCCTTCATGGGGAGTGATACAGAGTCCAGAGGAGAGGTTGTGAATTTTCATGATATTTGTGAAGAAGAAGAAGAAGAAGACTTTTCTATGGTGCAGTTTGATTACGGTGTTGCTCACACTCCTTGCTTGGAGACATGTTTTGAGCTTCCAGTGACACCTAGAGTAATCAAAGTTTTCACTCATGTTCTCTGTCCGCCCGAAGAGGATGAGAATTTCATACTTCACTTTTGTGCTGATGAGGGTTATGAAGACCATGTGCTATCTACGTTTACTAGAGAATTTAAAGGTTTGCGCCACTTAATGGCAATTATTGAAAGGAAGCTGGAAACGTTGATTGTTAGTGCACCACTACAGTCTTTGCAATTTGAGAGCTTATGAGATATCGTCGGGCACACGACGTTAAAAATAGCGCTTCTCGGGAGGCAACCCGAGCTTATTTCTGCTTTTGATTTTGCTTTTGCTTTGTTTGTTGTTTGGTTGTTTTGCTTTGTGTTTTTGTTGCAGCTCAGGGTCTTGTTGTTTGGATGATGTGCCGAGGATCACTTGACTCAGTTTAGTTCTTCACCGACCAGCGCCTTAGGGAAGTTTTTATGACTCTAATAATCGCCTGTTTGTAATAATTGACTTGAGTTAAGTTGAGCACGCGTGACCCTTTCCTCTTTACCCCTTGTGCATAGTGCATTTTTGGTCATCGGGGACGATGTCAAAGTTTAAGTGTGGGGGAGTGAATTGGGCATTCGGGCAGTAGTTGTTACATGTGATTATTAGAGTTAGCATGTGCAGGTATTCGTTGTATATTCGTAGAAAATCCATGTCAAAATTTTTGAAATTGTTTCTTTAAACTGTGTCTTTGTGAACTCGCTAGCGTTTTGACTATGCTTTTAGAACATCTTTGAAGTGTTTAGGCTTAAAGTGCTTGCATGATAATCTAGTTTTTGAAAGGATGAAGGCATTAGTCACCCATTGAATTTTCCATTAATCATCTACCCTACCTGAAAAAATCCTTTAGGAGAAGCCGTTTTGAGCCTGACTATTCTTTGTTTACCCAATTAATTTAGCTTCATAGCCAAATGGCCTGTTTTCTTACCCGTGAATATTTCTGACTTAGTTTTGATGTTTAGGGGATTAAGGGATTAATTTGTTAAGTTTAGGGAATTGTGTGTAGGAGCCATTTTTGGCACTGTTCCTATGCCCCAAATGGGGTAAGAGCAGTCACTTTTTAGGAATTTGATACTTTTGAGGATTGCATTGTAGGCATGGATTCACTTTGAAATAAATGAACTTTAAATTGCTATTTTTCCTTGGTGAGGCCGAGATTAGAATGGGGTAATGTCTAGTAAGAATCCGAAAGGTGAAAAATTAATATAGCTAGACCTCTTACTTTTCAAAAAAGAGAATGGGAGCCCCGGTCAAAAAGCGTAAGATGAGACTTTGGTATCTTTCGAAAGAAATGGCGTTCTCGTGCCAACATGACAAGGAAAACTAAACTTAAATTAATGAACTTGGAGGCTATTGCAAAAATTAGCTTTAGTCCTTCGCGTACTTCAAGTATACGTCAAAGCACAAATTTGCCGCGGCGGTTTAGCTTAGTTGTACACCATGTCTACTCTTTGCATATGTTTAAATGATTGTTCTTAAATTGTGGCCTACTGAGTTCCTTGTTCCTAAGAATAGCCCTGAAGTTCCTGAATACATTGAGTCTTTGTTAGAATATTCCAATCTCTCAAAACAAAGGGACTATTATTGTTACCATTCACCCTTCACCACCATTTTCACAAGTCCTTCTGATCAGTAGCTAGTTTATTTGTGTGTGCTGTCACTACTTTGAGGATGTTGTGAATAATTTTGTCAAATATTTTAGCTAGAGTACAAAGATGTAGTTTATGGAAGAATTTTCTTGGTTTAGTCTGCCTATTCTTTGAATATCCCTTTAACTACGTGTGCATGCTAATTGTTTTGATTCCGTGTGGTGATTATCGTATGTCTCGTTGTTCAGTTTGCTTGAGGACAAGCAAAAGCTTAAGTGTGGGGGAATCTGATAAGTCCGTATTTAGACACGCATTTGATGCGTGTTGGGATTGGATTTTGATGGTTTTCCTAGCTTTAAGGTGTTGCAAGTCTCAATTTTAGCTCAAGTTATGTTTACCAGGCGTTGGTTCGAGTTTTGTGTCATTTGGAGTCAAAATCAGGAATTTAGAGTTCGGCACCGGCGCTTGAGGAAAAATCGGGATGATTTGAGAAGAATTTGAGAGTGATTTGAGAGCTTTAGATGTCACCGGGAGGTTCACGATGAAGATTTGATGACAAAAGAGCTCTAGGATTGGCTACGGGGTCAAAAGAAGATGAATGAAGCTTGAAAACGACGATCAGGATGACCTTCTGTCAATCGTTCAAAAATATCTCTTTGTAGAAGCATCCAAAGAACACGATTCAAAGTCCACATGAAAGCCAACTTCAAGAGCTACAAATCATATGAAGACATCATTCCGATAATCCGAGAGGAAGAAGATGAAAACAGACAATGAAGTCAGATGATCCTTGCTGCGATTTCAGAATGAGACCTTCCACCATTTTATTCATATCTCTAGATTGGATGATCCAAATCCAATTCGGCAAGTTGTGGTGGATAGAGAACTTCATTATCTACAACTTTCATGAAGAAAGTTTGGTCCAATTCGGAAGTTTTACGCACGCCGTGTGTAGGGGAACGCACGACCGTGCGTCCGAGGCGAGAAAGCAAGGCAGCTACTGCCAGCCACGCACGGCCGTGCGTGGCCAATTTTTGCGCGATACATGCTCCGGACGCACTGGGGGACGCACGCCGTGCGTTGGTCCCGTGCGTTGCCCCTGGAATCCTAATTTCGCCCGAATTTGTTCCGTTTTTCCTATTTAAACAGCCTGTAAACCCCGTTTTTAGGGGGGGAGCTTAGAGAGAGTGCCTAGCACGAATTTTAGAGGGCTTTTCAGCCTTGTTCATCAATCTTTTGGTATTCTTTGTAAATTCTACCTTTTTATTTAATGGCAATTAATTCTATTCTTCCCAATTCTATTGATTCTTCAATTATGAATTGTGAGTAGTTTTAATTAGGGATTTGGGATTGATGAAGGGGTTAATCATGATGTATGACTAGATTCTTTTCGGTTTAATTGCATGAATGCCGTTTAATTTGTGTTTGAATAATTTAATTGATATCTTTTGTAACCTAGAATCGCGACTAGAATTACAATTGCATGTAGAATAAATTAAGAGAGATCTAATTTGTTCTAGGACACATTCACACACACTTAATCGTTCGCTAAGAAATTAGTAGCGATTAAGGGGCCGTAAGATCGCTCGTCTTGGCAATAATTTAGGATCCTGTCGCATGAGAGATCAGCCTGGTCTCCTAAATTATTGTACTCTACGCCGCGAGAGCGGTAAGAACTTAGTAATGATTAGCTAGGCTCAATTAAATAAATTTCATGTAATTAGGCCTGATCTGCCAGAAATCTGGTTACCCCGGAATCGATCCCTGTTCCCTTCGTCATTAATTAGAAAGAACCCCCTAGTTTAATTGTTCGCATTAGTTTTATTTTCCAAACCAACCAATCTCGCACGACGCTTTTATTTTATTTTCTTTTTAATCGCTGAATTTAATTAATTCTTGATTCCCTTTTGTCCGTCCCTGTGGAGACGATACTCGTACTTACACCACTATATTACGATCTA